TGAGCAACCTAGCTTGGGTGCCTGTGTCATACTTCATTGAACTGTGTGGATTTACCCTTTGAGCCTGTTTCAGGGCAAGGATTTCAGGCCAGGATTCGATAATCTTAAACAAATGCCCTACATCACTTGCTATTTTTAGTCTTATCTCTCTTCCCCTCTTCCCCCCCTTCCCCTCTTGTCATAACATTTTTGAGAGGTCTTGCTTCCTCCTAAGGGTAAATGGGAAAATTCTGAAATTTTAACAATGGTTAGATGTAACAAACGTTTTACACTGAAGTCATTAGACAATTCACATCTACTCTTCATGTACTCAAGACAGTTCATTGCATCATGCTCTGCACATGAATTCTTTAAGTACAGATCATTTGGATTTTCCTGTTGTTAATTCCTGGAAAACAGAGCTTTCTTTCCTCCACGAGAGGAAGAAAAAATAAATTCTTCAAATGTTCCTTGAATCATCCTTGAAAAGGAGGAAGAAGTTTTCTAGCAGCCTCTTAAAAAAAAATATTCATCAGTCATACCAAGAGAGTGTTTCAGTTGACTTATTAAAATTATAAAATTATTAAGCTGGTTTTAGTACTGTACACTACAAGTATATCACCTAAAGTAAAATTATTATCTTTTCATTTGCCATCAATGAAATAAAACAAAAGTCTTATTAAAATACAGAAACTTGAAAATGAAATGTGCTTAATACTCAGTGTTCTTTCCCAGTCATCCTCACACATGTCTGTTCAATATAAATGTAACTTTTATGGATAGTTAATATCAGATACACATCGATAATCTTGTCTTTATAAAAAAATATCTATATGTGGTTTCATAGGTTTTTGTTTGGGGTGGGATTTTTGTATTTTTTTGGTTTTGGTTTGGTTTTGGTTTCAGTTTTTTGGTTGTTTTGGTTGTTGTGGGGTTTTTTTTGGCTTAATTTCATTTGATTTTGTTTAGTTTTTTGTTTTGGTTTTTCCAAGTTTTTTTTTTCTTTGGCTGGTTGGGTTTTGGTTGTTTTTATTTTTTGATATACAAACTCGCCAGAGAATGGCAGCTCAGGAGCATGTGCTCAGAGCTCCAGTCTGTGTCCAGTTTATGCACTCTAGGAACCACAAACCTTTTTTTGTTCAGAGTCATTGGGATGCTTAGGCAGGGAGCGTTTTTTACTAGAGGTAACTGCAAGCAGCACAGAGGGGAAGAAAATCACAGATAAGTGCTCACCAGTAAGGAGGCAATCGCAGTGGTTTCTTTTAATTTATTAGTGTGGAAGCAGAGACCCAAACCTGCAATCTGTTTATATTCCTAGTCCTTGAAAAGGGAAACTGCCTGTTCACATGTTGCACTTCATAGAATCATAAAATCACAGAATCAAGCAAGTTGGAATAGACCTCCGAGATCATCAAGTCCAACCCTTGTTCCAAGACTGCCGTGGTTACTAGACCATGGCACTCAGTGCCACATCCAGTCTCATCTTAAAAACCTCCAGGCATGGTGAATCCACCACCTCCCTGGGCAGCTCATTCCAATGTCTGATTACTTCCTCTGTAAAAAACGTCTTCCTAATATCCAACCTCAACCTCCCCTGGCACAGCTTGAGACTGTGCCTTCTTGTTCTGCTGCTGGTTGCTTGGGAGAAGAGACCGACACCCACCTGGGGAACATCAACTTGATGTTCCCTTTTTTAATAGTATCCCTTAGCTTTACCACAACAAACACAGTCCTTAACACTGCATACCTGAAGTCCCTTTTCCCCACTTCCCATGCTGGTGATCACCTTCAAGCCTGTAAACAAGGACTTGGGTGCTGTTACTTGATAAAACTGCTCACTACTCTTCTGACAATGGCCTTAAATTTCTATCTAAGTACAGTTTTTGTTATTAAAAACAAAGTAAGAATGATAGAACTTGTGCTCCATTAGAAAAGTCACATGTGGCAGGGCTTTAAAAACAGGCTTAGAGCTCAAAGGAACAATAAAATAAAGAGAAGGAATGATGTCTTTCTCGTCTGTGGTTTCTGGTGCAGGGTTATGGGCAGAGAAGGAAGCAGTGCTACCAAAGAGCAGTCAGATGTGAGAGAGCAAACATCTTGCCTGCTGTGCATACAGAGGGTTTTTCTCTTATCCCATATGCCCTGGTTCTACAAATCTTCTTTTAGGCTAAAGCGTAGGTGTGTCTGCTGAGGAACAGCTCCCTGAAGAAGCTGTAGGTGTAGCATGTCTGTCATTAATCAGGCTGGAGATCACTCTCCAATCATGGAAAATGAAATGAACAGTTAGTCAGTGGGCGAAAAAACAAAGACTCATTTTTCAAGTCTTCTTACCAAATGAACACCTTTTGATGTGTCTTTTGATGACACCAGGTTTCTTATTTTCTTTTTTCTGATTCTTATATTAATTTATTGGATATTTAAAATCTAGTGTAGATAGTGACTGCCATACAAAAAAATATGATTATGCTTAGAAGATATCTTAAATATTAAAAAGATAAGGACATAAGCAGACAAATCCCAACATGACAGTTGGAAAAGCTAATAATGCTGATAATGAAATATCAGAGCATCGCTGTAAATTATCACTCATTAAGAATTAACTGGTTATTAAGTGTTTAGAGCTCTACTACTGTTTTGATGACGTGAGAATCATTCCTGATTTTCTGGCATAGGAAATCTCATGCATTGCATGCCTTTCTTTCAGACATATTTATAGCACTATTGCTCTGAAAGTATCATTGCTAAAGGTTTGGAAATTTGTAAGACCACTTTTTAGATGCCAACAAAAAATACATACATATTTCAAATGTATTTGGAAGCCATGATCAAACCATATGAAAATAATCATATAAGAAATCTCTTTAGGACTTCTTTATTCTACACAAATGTCACATCCCCAGGAAATGGCTCTATAACAAGAATTAACACCGAACAGACTTACACTGAAAGAAAATGTTGCTCAGGCTCAATAGCCTGTTTCCAAAAAATACCACTTCCAGTTCACAGAGCCCTGTGTAAGGGAAGAGTCAAACTCAACAACTTAACTCCACACTAAGGAGAGGAACTTGGGGAGTAACAAATCACAACACTTCCTGGTCATTTTGACAGGAGCAGTAAATACAGGAATTCTACTTTTGCACTCTTTGCTCTGCACAGAACCGCAACATAAATGTAATCTTCTATTTTGTTCCTTCCTCAACTCTAGATGAACAACACAAAATTTTTCATCTTTGTCCCCGAATAGAGACACAGGTGTCTGTTCCCTGATGCACATCACCCTGAATGAGGTCTGACATTCCCTCTCTTCCATGCAGATGATCTAATTATTCCCACACGCCGCTGAAAGACGTTGCAGTTTACATGCCATGAGCCGTGTCTCACAGTGTGTCTCACTGACATCTGTTCTAGCTGACTTCTGACAGCCAGCACCAGCATGCAGCATAGGGCAGGACTTACAGACAACTGACATGACACAGAAAGCACCATCTGCATCACCTTTAAATCTTTAAAGTCAATTTCCAGCATTACAATCACAGATGCAGTTTCTTCTATTAGTTATGAGCAGGCTGCGTAGACATATTTCAAAGAACAATTTAGCCTTCAATAATTTTTTGGTTTTTAGTGAGCAATGACTGTTCAGAGTGAATTCACAGAAAACACATCTTATTAGTATTTCAAATTTCCTACTCAGAATACCTTGCTGTATAAACTGTCATCTGCTTACAAGAACAGAGTAGCTCATAAGATGTAGTATGTCAGATAAATATATTAGGAATACTGTAAGAGAAAAATAACATGCATTTTTCCTTATTTTCCTTTAAATATGAGAGATTGGTGAACACACACTTATTCAAACCTTCATTTCAAGTTAGTCATCATGGTGTTTCACTCTCCAGTTCTTTATATGCTGTGAACCTCCAGTGTCTATGCAGTTGTTTCTAAGGTAACAGATCAAGATGCCTTGTGAAAAAATGAATCAGATCTTGAATATTCAAGACATCTCCAGTTGCAGAAATGAGAAAAGGGCAGTATCATCTCAACTGAGGGTTCTCAATCTTTTAGAGCCTGGCCTAATTTGCAGGTAAGAAAAATATAATCCATCCTAAGACTGCAAGTGTGAGAGTACAGTGGCGCATGCAGTTTCAGGCATGTAAACTGTCAGAAATTTTTAATCAGAGCCATAATTAAAGAATTACGGAGGCTGTTCTCAACAGAGTCTCATTGCCTCACTGAAGGGTACACACACACAGAATGCAGATGAAGAATGTGTTTGGTAAGATTGAGCCTTCATTATAACCACTGACAGCTGTGCAGAAATCTTTCTGTCAGATATGTGAGGCACAAACCAAAAAAACATTAAAAATTAACGTGAACCAGCATGTGAAAATAAATGCATGTACACCTTTCTCAAGAGACCAAAAATGTATTATTTCCACCAAAGAAAACGAATTGATATCTTTCACAGGATTACCTCGGTCAATAATTTTCAGTGAATGGAATTACTGGGTTTTGTTGAGGTTTTTCTTGTTGGTTTGATTGTTTGTTTCTTTAAGTTGGCTAGAACTACCTTCTGTTTATTGCTTATTATCTGAGTCCAGAATTCATATAAACAAATAAATGCACCTAAGGCACATAAAGAGAATATTAACTGAAATATGTAAAATATGTAAAAATAATTGAAAAAACCTTCAGAGCTTTATTATTTTCCATGTTGTGTAAGGAAAAGTTGAGGCATAGCACCCTGGTAACTTGGGGATCAGACAAAAGTCATGGTCATATGACTGTACAGGTCATGACTGCTTCTACTTGTTTTCCTGTTTTTGAATCTTGTGGTCTATCTACTGCATTACAAATTACTTGCTCACTGCAAATGCATGGCATAAAAACTGTTCCAAATATTTACACAGCTTGTTTGGCAACATTCTTCAGCGAACTACTCTGCATGAAGAAAATATTAACAGATTTCTAGACTGGTATCATTTTAACAAACTGAAAGGCAGATGCATTGATTAGGGTCTTACGTTCTTGGAAAGATGTGAAGAGCATCTGGAATCGGCTGTTTCGACTGCCTTCATCTGCCCACATGCGGATCACACCAAGACCTGTCCGCAGCATTACATCATTAGCAACAGTGCTGCAAAACTTTGCTTTCAAATCCTCCACGGAGCTGCTTCCATCATAGACAGCTACAAAATTCCTTTTGCATTCATTGGAATTCTGCATCTCGTAGTCCAAGAATCGCAAATAGATCTATGAATCAATCAAACAACAAAGGCAACATGTACAGATATTTGAGAATGACTGAAAAACATTAAACAACTTTGCTCTACCTTGTAGGAGAAAGAGTACACACCACCACCATCAGAATAATTTTTCTGGAGCTGGTGATCCATAGGGCACTTCCTTGTAAGGGCATTAATATGTAATGAGTATTATTTGTACTTCCTGGTATTTTGTCTCGCTTCAAATCTATCAGAAAATCTAGGTACTTTTTTGTTCTTATTTGTTATAAGGTCCTAATTTCAAAATATATACCTTTCTTTCGGAAATATGTATAACAGTTCTTCAAGCTGAAGGACAGACAAGCTAGAAATTTCTTCTTTCACTGCTTGGCACGATATTGGTCTATTACATGCTTGGCATGGAAAATAATAAGGCAAATCAGTGCAGCTCCCTCCCCAGAGTCAGTATGTGTCATCTTTCTATGTCCCTGCTACACCGGCTCAGGAAGTGAGAATCTGAGAGCCAGGCAGAACTCAATCATTACCTTTTTTACTATCCCTCAAGCAATTTTTCCACCATCTTGTCTCTTCTAAACAAAAGTTTGTGGTATATGACTTCATAATTTAGGGTTGAAATCAGGCTTACTTTGTGGAAACTTCTGGAAACCTAGAAAGTTTCTTAGGAAATGTCTCTTGCATACAAGCTAAGTTGTCTCATAAAGTAATAGATATAGTACCTTTTGCAAAGAACTCTTTAAATCTACCTAAAAAGGAGCAGGGGTGACGACAAAAGGCTATTATTTGATATTCAAGTGTATATGGACTTCAACAGGAAAAACCACTAATTTTAAAAGCATTTGAATATACAAGCAAAATCAAATATTCCATTAACAAAGAAGGCAAGCAGTATTTTCAATAGACACATGACACATAATCAAACTGTCAAGGGTACCTGGGAGACTTCAGGGTGAATTACATCAAAAATAATATAAAAAGAGAGTAAACATCCAGCATACAGCTGTGTGCATCTCCACTTGAAAAAATAACTAAAAAGAACCCCCACTGTATTAGATATAAAATATAAGTTTTTTGAAACAAAATTATTGACATCAGGTATTTTTTTACATGCATAGAACAATTGCTTAATACACTATTCTGAATTTACATAAAGTACACAAACATAGCATACCCTAGTAGCAGCAGGACTCACCCTTTCAATTCATGAATACATTAAAGCTCTTATGGTTTGAGAATTAGGTGCTCTTAAGCAATCTGCTACTGTTTAATAATAGCTCAGATTTTTTTTATAAGCCTTTTGAGGTAGCACATTATGGTGCATTTTCATTCCTTGTTAGGTTTTGCATAACTGTTTCTCTAAAAAGAGTACCTGTAGAAAAAAATTTTACTAGTAAATGAAACTTGGTATACTAAGTTTCATTTTGCTCGCCACAGCTTCTTTTAGTATGTTATTTCTTACACTAACCCCTTCTTATGTTCCACCCCTCCCATCATTCAGGAGAATTCAGAGGAACATATTTAAATTAAATTCAACTAAGTGAATTCTACTTTCACCACCTATCTTGGGGTTTGCATACTATAAATTAAGAAACTGTTTTTATTGATTTCTATGAAATGGAGCAGTTAACAGCAACACACAAAGAAATATTCAGATGGAAATATCTTACATGAAGGCATACTTTTTATAGTGTTTTTCATTTCATTTGTTGGTTGCTCCAGTAAAGCAGTGGAATGATACATACTACTGTCCTGACAGAGAAAGATTTCACATGGGGAAGGGAGGTATGGGAAGAGGCAGAGCCGTGATACCCACACCCAGCAACTGGCCCATAGTTTGGACACACCAGCGTTGCTCCTGCTCAAACAAGAAACAGGCTGTGCAGCCCTGGCACCCAGCCTCTCCTGTGAATCTGCTGAGACAGTCCATAGTCCATCTCTGCATAACTTAGTACAGGGAGTTAAATGTACACCTTGCTTTTCTTTTTCTCCATTAACAGAATTAGTCTGCTTCAGACAGGCACTTCAGTGCTTGCCAGCTTTGTTACAGGTAATGCAACAAAACCCTCCTGCAGCTGATTTTATGCAATATTGTATAAACGTGACTGTTTTCCAGGAAGCACAGCATGTCAGATAGCTGTCTCACAGAGAAGAACAGTTAGTTTCCAACATATTTTTGTCATGAATCATGACTTTAACACTATATATGCCTATCATATGTATACCATCTGTATGTTACAAAATACCATATACACATGATAGACTACACAGATATAAGGCAATGTATCGCATCACATTTTTATCACATTTTTATCTATTCCATTTTCAGGAAAGCTGTTATTAACTCCAGAAAAAAATTATCATAATGTGACTACAGAATAACAGTAAAATTACACCTACTGGGTGAAAGACCTCTCATGCTTGTTCACGTTCTTTACTTCTACCCTGCTGTCTTATATACATGCATTTATATGTTCAAGTGTATGTTCACATACATATATGTAAGCACACGTGTAGCTTGTAAAGAGTATCCCATTTCAGTGCTGAGATGCAATTTTTATGAGTTCTCACTCTTACTAGAAATGTGTGCTAATCCTCACTGGGGTTACAAAATACCAGCTCTCACAGCAATTTCCACCATTCATCAATTATTCCTGTTCTGTTCAACCATCCTATTCATACAACAGTATAGCCAAAATCTTATTTCTATGGGTTTATCATTTGATGTTCTCTAGTTTCTGGCATCACACTAGCCTTATAAAATAGTAAAATATTTCTTAGAGTAGCAGTCATAAATGCTGAAAAGGAATCAAGTGAATAATAACTTAGCATTTTGCTTTGAATCTTTCAGTGAAGAAGCCAACACCTTCAGTTCTTCCCAGGACAGAATTCTGCTGTCAGTCATACCAGTTCATTCCTCTGTGTGAGAAATTCAGCTAACAACATATACAGACTTGATAGCTACTGGAACCATTGGAAAGAAATATTTGATTTAAAAATCTATGTCTATCCTTCAGAAGAAAGATGCCACCTTCTCCAATGACATGAAGTTTCCTAAATTAGACTAAAAAATTTCTGATATTCTGAGGTGAGCTGGATTTTCATTCTCAAAATCTCCTTTGGAGATGACTACTCCCAGAACTTTATATAAAATAATGAGGACTTGATACAACACTCACTGAAATCAGTGGGTATTTTTCCATTTACTTATTTGGATGAGACCTTTGGATTAAGACTGCAGTGAATTCTCAAAAACAAGAAACATTACATACACTGACAATCTGATATTGGATCTGATTTTATTTTAAGGAGCTGGAATAATTTAATTGCATCTGCACGCCTCTGCCAACTTTTATGGTTTTATAACTATATATTTGCCATTGTTCCTGTCACTGGCTGTAAGACCCACACTGGCAGAAGAAAATGACTAATAAATTGAGTTCCCCGAGGAAAGAATAAAACTGATTATATGACAAACTCTTACCTAATGCAAAATGTTCCCTATACATAGCTTTTTGAAATCAGTGGCAATATTCTCATTACTTTCACTGGTATGTGGATCTCACTAAAAGAAATTATTAAGAAAATGAAATAAAAATTATCAATATTTCTGGTTATTTCATTTACAGAGACTTTAGCCATTACTTCTACCAGTAGTGGATAAGGAACTTTGTTCCCCTGAAACAAAACAAATGAACTAAAGAAGAGGTCAAAAACTCAATCACCATCTGCTTTCATTAAGAATTTTTTCACTGATGCCAATAGGAGCTTTTGAAATGAACATTTCCATAGATACTGACACATTATATTACCATAATCGGAGCATTCTTGTTGAAGAGAACATCTTGTTTGAAAGGAGCATAACTGCTATATCTTCTTTCATATTTTTGCTGCAAAGTTTTAATAAGACACTCTTCTCAAATCATCCATTCCACATTACCTAGAAGAGTGGGCTGCTCAAGTATTAGATTTACTGAGTTTTGAGATGTCACTGCAAATGCCAATGTCATTAGCAACAAAACTGATTAAGCCTCACTGAAACTGTGGCATATATAATTTACTATCGGTCACATTATATTTTAAATAATTGTCTTGTCACATTTAAGGTTTGTATTGTAATCATGAAAAATAATCAAAAAGAGAAATGCTGGATAAGTTTTACTATTCTTTTAATTTAAATCTGAACACAACAGAAATCTCTGACTGCACATATTAGCAAAAAAAATATAACCCATTATAATCTATAAACCTCAGTAAAATGGTCAGATTATAATCTCTTCATAGTGAATCACTTTTGATGAGTTCTGCTTTTTAATCAATCACTGAATGTTAGGGCTGACAACATGATTGATCAGACCAGTCAGGAAAAGCTTCAAACCATATCCCAGCGCATCAGACTTAATATATGTGCACAGACACTCAGTTCCCTTAAACGAAACCAAACCAAACAAACAAAAAGCCATCGTTCAGATGCCAAAAGTAATTTAGACATAAGAGAAAAACCTCAGCTCCATCCAAGCATAATGTCCAGATTTCGCATATTCAGCTTCTTGGTTCAGTCAATTCACTTGTAACCACAGGACTGGGTTAAATCATCCTATGTCCTTCCCCATTGCTCAGTGATCATTTACAGCACCTGCTTGATCCTGCATCTTTTTCAGCTCTATGCAATTAGCAAAGGGCTTTCAAGATGATACATACAGTCTTTAGGCCTCAGAAGCCCTGTTTTTTAAAGCATACTGTGCAAACACTAATTAATCTCCTTTAAGGCAACAAGGTGCCAAGGTATACCAGCCTAAAAAGCATATTATTACTGATGATGCTTGAATTTGTCTTCTGATGTGTCCTGTCTTCTTGCTTGGATCTTAAACTTTATTTCAATCAACATTACTTCAATATAAAAGTGTTAACAGTACATGTTCTGTTTGGATTTTTGGTTGGTTGGTTGGGTGTTTTTTAGATTTTTGGGCCTTCTGTTACCAGTCTGGGAACATATTGTGCAAACAGAGAACT